CGGCATTCCGGCTGCTCACCCTGGGTTCATCTCGAGCCAGGCCTCCAGCTGCCCGGCTTTGGGGGCATCGGTGCCCGTCAGGATCTTCCCGCTCTCCACGTGGATGACTTTCACTGGGAGGTCACTCATCTGGCTGGTCTCATCCAGAGGCTGAAAGAGAGTCGGCCCTGTGACCTGAGGTTCCCAGGACAGAACAGGACTCACTGTGGCCTGCTCGGGAGGGGCTGCCTGAACCCCCCACCAGAGAACGGCAAGAACCTAGGCCCACGGCGCTGAACAGTGAACTGCAGGCTGATGATCCGGAGAGACAGACAACACCCGCTGAGCCCACCTGCACACACGACGGCGGTTTCTCTGGGGCCACTGACATGCACTGTCACTTGAACGCACGGATACATAACCGGAAATTCACAAGGGGGCCGGCTCTACGGCGCGGTGACAATAAGCCGCTCAAGAGAAGCTGGGTCAGGGCTGGCAGGTGGACGACCACGTGGACAACCACGGTTAGAGTCCCAGACCCGGCGGCTTGCTTTCTCACTTTCCCTCTCTCTTCCTTGCTCTGTCCCTCTCTGGTCAAATTGAAATAAGTCATTAAATCAATAATGTTAAATTGGAAAAAAAAAAAATAGAAGCTGGATCACAGGGCCAGCAGATGGAATAGCGCATACGTTGCTGGACTTCTACGTGACTGCAGTTTGAGTCCCGGACCTGGAGGCTAGAAAATGACACCGGGGGACCAGCAGATGGCGCAACGGTTACACTGCTGGATTCCCACGTAATGATCACAGGTCGAGCCCTGGACCTAGCAGCTTAAAACTCATGCTGTGTGGGAACCAGCAGTTAGCGTAATGGCTATGTCGCTGAACTCCCACGTAGTCGACCACGGTTCGTGTCCCGGACCCGGTGGCTTAAAACTCACATCATGCGTGTGTGCGTGCGTGCCCAAGATCCGGATTGGCGTGACCATCCCCCCTGGGGGGTGATTTCTCGCTTTCTGTCTCTATGTCTCTCTCTGTCTGGCGAGCGCACGCGCCCTACAGTGAAAATCTC